TACTTTTAAATTAATTTCAACATTTTTCCTCTCTGAACTCCAGACTTTTGATCCATTATAATGTTTTCTGCTATCTGATTCAAATGACCTTGCCAGTAAATTTATATATTGTTGGGTAATGAGAAGAGATGCTGCAATCATGGCCCACACCATTTAATTATCCAAAGCAAGTTATTATTTCGCTGTCATTGTTCTTTACACTTTATTTTATTTCGTTTCTTTGAATATTAAAATGCACTACATTAGCTCATATTATTGGTTGAATTGATGCTGAAAGAGCAAAAGATGTTAGCTCCGGTGACACATGGACAAAAATCTTCGTATTTGTGCTAATATTTCACAAGGTTGTTGATGGTTATGTTGTTCATTTCTATACTTGCCTTTTGCTTTGAAGTTCCAGAGTTGAGAATACATTCAGCCTCAATTTCACTGTGATTCAACTTATTATGTCATACATTACGGTACTTGGCATAATAGTAATCATAAACCTCTAACTTTGCAGCAATATTACATATCTTCAGCATGAGAACTTGCGAGGTTGGTTGGAGTATGCAAAGCTCCAGTGATACAAAAATTTTCTGAAATGATTTCAGGAGCAACGACTATCTGGAGCTTTGATGAAGAACCAAGATTCAGAGAGAAAAACATGAAACTAAGTGACTCATTTTCTTGGCCTGTATTCCATACTGCTGGTGCTATTGAATGGCTCTGCTTCCACCTAGATATGTTGTCTTCTATTGCATTTGCCTTCTCTTTGGTGTTCCTAATCTCTATTCCTCCGGGAGTTATTGATGCAAGTATGTTGTTGCAGATTGGTAGTTCTATTGATTATTGATGTATGTTGATAAAGAATGGTCAAGGCATGTGAGACAACTCAATTCTGTTTTCTCCTGTCAAGGCATTGCTGGCCTAGCTGTGACATACGACTCAATCTGAATATGTTGCAAGCAATGGTAATATGGAGTCTTTGCAATCTGGAGAACAAAATTATATCAGTTGAGAGAATAATTCAGTATTCTAACATTCCCAGTGAGCCTCCTCTTGTGATTGAAACAAATCGCCCAGCTCATTCTCGGCCATCTCATGGAAAAATTGATATTCATGATCTGCAGGTAATCAGTTCATAGTTTCTGCAGCTTGTTATTTTTCCTCAGTCGTTGCAGTACTGATTTTGATGGGTCAATTTAGGTCTGTTATGCCTCACACATGCCACTTGTGTTGCAGGGCCTTACATGCACTTTTCCAGGAGGGTTGAAAACTGGTATTGTAGGGAGGACAGGCAGTGGTAAATCAACTCTTATACGGACACTTTTCCGGATTGTTGAACCTGCAGCTGGCCAGATTATAATAGATGGTGTCAACATCTCATCCATTGGACTGCATGATTTGCAGTCAAGACTAAGCATCATTCCTCAGGATCCAACAATGTTTGAAGGGACTGTTAGGAGCAATCTGGATCCTCTTGAAGAATACACTGATGAACAGATTTGGGAGGTGAGTTTGATTTATTTTGAAAGG